ACCCCCCCCCCCATCTGCTCCGGGCCTTGGCCCTCCCATCCAGCACCCCTCGCAGGAGGAGGGACCTGTCGCCCAAGGCACTGGGGAAACGTCCCCTCCACTCCCCGTCCTGCTGGGCACCCCCAGGGCAGCCATGCATGCCCTGCAGTGGATCGCAGCCTGGGCGCTCCTGCTCCACGGTACGTTGGAGGGGCTGGGCTGGGAGGTGGGATGGACTCGCCAGGAGACGGACACATCCTGGGACCCCCCCAGGAACCAGGCTGGTCCCAGCATGAAGTACGTAGGGGTGTTTTGCAGCAGTCTGAACCACAACTTTGAGTGAAGCAAAGGTGGGTTTGCCCTTAGGGAGCCAGGGCTGTGCTGTTGCTCCAGCCCCGCTGCCCTAGGGCAGGGGGCCGGGCTGTATGGAGGGGCTAATCCTGCCTGCCTGACCCCAGGGACGAGCTCTGGGGAGGTGACGGGTAAGGAGCAGCTCCCAGGGGCATAGAGACCAGGTGTCCGAGGCCACACCATGCTAAGGGTGACCCATTCCCCCATTGCCCCACGGACCCGAGCCTGGTGCCCTTGGCCCGAGATGAAGAACCTGCCCGCAGACTGCAGCAGTAATGGAGATGGAGAGCTTGGGGAAAGGCAGTGCCGGTGGTGGCACCAGATGCAGAGGAGTGCTGGGGAGAGGCCGGGTCCTGCTGGGGCACATCCCTGGCTGCTGGCCAGGTCCTCCCGCAGCCCCAGCGCCAGGGATGCTCGGGGCTGGCTCCCGCCAACCCCCTCCCCAGCTCCAGGCACGGTGGGCACTAGCTGCGCCTCGTGAGGATCCCACCGCACCCCCTGGGGCCCGTCCTCAGGCATGCCATGGGCGCTGGCCGTGCCCGGGAGCATTTACTTCCTCTTGAGCTAGGTGATGGTGGTGGTTTTCACCCACTATTGGGTTTTCACCCACTATTCCTGGGGCTAGAAACACTGTTTTTTGCAAAAAGCCCCAAAGCTGGGCTGGCTCAGTGTTTGGGACTGAGGACAAGGGTCACAGCTGCCCCGGCACTGGCTCTGGGCTGGAGCAAGGAGCCAGTGGGACCCCGGGCTGCAGCCTGAGGCTCCAGGGTGTCCCCATGTCCCCAGGCTGTGCCGCAGGCCGGCCACCGCAGGCTGCCTCTGCCAGGAGCGACGTCCGGGACTGCTCCGTGGACCCACCGGTGAGCCCCACCGTGCCCAGCCCTCCCCGTTCCTGGGACACCCAGTGTGGGGTCACTCCCGCCCAGCCCCACCACTGCAGCTGGTGCCCCCCCCAGCACATCTCCCCTTGTGCCACCAGTACCTGCCCCCTACGGCCACCAACACAACAGCGCGGCTCGCCGCTCTGCGGGGCACCATGCGAGCCCACGGCATCCATGCCTACATCGTGCCCTCCACGGATGCCCACATGGTAAGGCAGCAGCCTGCCTGTGCCCCCGGGGACAGGCTCGCTGGCCGGTGCCCACGGCCGCCTCTCACGGCTCCATCCCCGGCTCCAGAGCGAGTACATCGCCGAGCGGGATTCCCGGCTGGGCTGGCTGACCGGCTTCACCGGCTCTGCAGGTGAGAGCATCCTCACCGCCCCGGGGTCCCTGCTCGGGGGGCCAGCACCTGGCTGCCTGCTGGTCCTCATCCTTGGGGATCCTCGAGGCAGGGCATGGTCCACACAGGGTGTGGGGCTGGGGGTCCCTGGGGGTCCCCGCCAGCTGCCTGGAGAGGGTGGAGAGGTGACGCCTGAGTCCCCACTCCTGTCCCAGGCACCGGCGTGGTGACGCAGGACAAGGCTGCCCTGTGGACCGACAGCCGCTACTGGACCCAGGCAGAGCGGCAGGGGGGAAAAAAAAAGGAGCTGCAGAGTCCAAGGCAGTGGGGGGCAGGCTGGGGCGCTGCTGCATCCCCCTGCCCCCAGGACACCCCCCCCCAGCCCCAGCCTCATCTGGGCTCAGCATGGGCCGGGATGTGGTTCGTCCTCGCGGTGCCACCCAGCTCTCTCCTGCAGCCTGGATCGAGTCCATCGGGCTGTGGATCCTGGAGGCGGTTCCTGTGGGGGGGAACATCAGCTTGGACCCCTTCCTCTTCTCCATCGGTAGGGTTGGCCATCACATGGGGTGACCCTGCCTGACGTGAGGGCAGCTCCCGGGTGTGGATTTACCAGGTGCCCCCAACCGCGGGCTGCTTCCCCCCCTCAGACACCTGGAACAGCTACAGCCGGGCTCTGCACGGCTCTGGCAGGACTCTGCTCCCCATCGAGACCAACCTTGTGGATCAAGTGTGGGGTGACCAGAGACCCCCTCCAGCCTCCAGCGAGATCTACAGCCTCCCACCAGCATTCACGGGTACGACTGCCGTCCTCCCTGAGGCTGCTGGGCGGATGCTCGCCCACAGCAGCCCCCAGCCCGGGGGGGCCGTGGTGGTCCCTGAGCTGAGCCAGCCGCTCGCTCCCCTCCCAGGAAGCAGCTGGCAGGAGAAGGTGGCTGGGATCCGGCAGCAGATGGAGCAGCACGTTCGACGCCCCACAGCCGTGCTGCTGTCAGGGCTGGAGGAGACGGCCTGTGAGTAGCCGCAGCACCGTGGTGGGTGCGGTGGTGGGTGCCGCGGGCTCCGAGCCCTGGGGGTGAGAGGGCAGCTGGCGGGAGCAGGCTCGGAGGTCTCGTTCCCGGCAGGGCTCTTCAATCTCCGCGGAGACGACATCCCCTACAACCCTGTCTTCTACGCCTACACCCTGCTGACCAACACTACCATAAGGTGGGCAGCACATCCGTGCGGGCACAGGGCACAGACAGGGATCAGCACCCACCCCCCGCTTCCTTTCCAGGGCCAGCACTCACGGGACCCTCCCCTGGGCCAGCTGCCCCCTTCCCCAGAGCCCACCGCGTCCTGCAGTGCCCAGCCCCATTGCGTGTCCCCTCCAAGCCCCACATCTTTCCCAGGTCCAGCCCCCTCCCTCCCAGCACAACCTAGGGTGCAGCCCCCCCACTCCCAGCCCACCCTGGGGTGCAGCACCCTCCCTTCCAGCACAGCCTGAGGCCGACCCCCGTTCCCAGCCCAGCATCCCCCCAGCCAGCCCCCAGCCCCCTCCTCTTCACCGGCATGCCCCACATGGCCGAGCTCGGGGGGCGGGGGGAACCAAAGGCAGCAGGCCGACCCCACGGCCGGGGGCCCCCGCCCCCGCGCGGCAGTCCCTGCAGGCAGGGTGCCCGGGGCCGCTGTGCGTGGAGCTGCGGGAGTACGGGCAGGCACGCACCCACCTCCGCCACTACGCCCAGGGCAACGTCACCATCTGGCTGGGCACCGAGTACACTACCTACGGCCTCTACAGCGTCATCCCCCAGGTGGGGCACCGCTGTGCGCCGGCGCTGGCACCCGTGCCACTGAGCTCGGCCGTGGGTGACGTGGGTCCTGACGGGCTCAGGGACGGCCCCATGCCACCAAGCTGCGGGGGCGCAGGATGCGCCGCAGCCATCCCTGAGGCAAGAGAAGCGGGTGACCATGCCCGGCTGTGCCACCCCCAGCCTGCCCTTGCAGGAGAAGCTGCTGGAGGACAGCTACTCCCCTGTCATGCTGGCCAAGGCTGTGAAAAACACGAAGGAGCAGAAGCTGCTGCGAGCTGCTCACGTAAGGGCTGTCCCCATCCCCGCAGCCCCAAGCAGAAGTTGGGGGGCAGCCAGGGGAAGCGGGGTGCTGATGCACCCCTCCTCTGATGCTGCTGGGCCACCCCCAGGTTCGGGATGCGGTGGCTGTCATCCAGTACCTGCTGTGGCTGGAGAAGATGGTCCCGCAGGGGCAGGTGGATGAGTTTTCGGGGGCACAGCACATCGACACACTCCGCCAGTCAGTGCTGCCACCGCGGCCGCCCCCCCCCCCACACCCGGT